TTCTCATTGCTTCTATCTGCCTGGATTCTCCAGTAGGGTCAGGTACCCTGGCACCCAGCTTCGTCACCACAGCATCTGGCACAGGACTCTGCAGTCAGTCCCCAAAGAGACCTACAGCACCTGAATGCTTGAGATGCCAGGGCATGCAGAAGCTTAGGGTCCATTCTTACCTCCAGAACCAGGGGCGAGCCCCTCCACAGGGCGAATTAGGACTTCACAAGACCAAGGCCATCTCAATCCTCCTGTCACAGAGCTAGATAAGGACCCACCAGCACTGCACTCCCACCCACCCTCTCCTTGGGAGTGGTGCAGCCTTCCAAGCCAGAAGGTCCCTCCCTGCAAACACTTATAAAGCACTCAACTTTCATGTATTGAGGCTGTATACATTATTCCATTTAATTGCCTACTTAGGCCCATGGGAGAAAGGTGGTAGAAAGACCCTCAAATTGCCCCATGGAGTACATATTCTGGTTTAGGTGACTGGAAGACAATTAAGAGAAACTCAAGTTGAAACATTATCTGTTTCCACCAATCCTCCTTCCCTTTCCAACTTTTTGTTTTACAGATGAGTTATAATTTATACTCCCAAAACAGGCCAGCCACAAGACCACATTGACTTCTTCTCCACTTAAGGCCTCTATTCTGAGTGCCTCTTCATCAGTTCTAGAACTGGAAGATTAGTGGATGAGAACTGGGATGTCAATGGGCTATTGGATACTTGCTGGACACCAACTTCCTCTTGCCTAATCTTACAGATAGCTCAGGATCTCGCCTGCCCAAAACCAGACCCTTTAACATAGCAGTTCCAACCTTTTTGGCACCAGGGACTGGTTTCATGGAAGACAATTTTTCCACGGACTGGGAGTAGGAGGGATGGTTTTGGGATGATTCAAGTGCGTTACATTTATTGTGCACTTTATTTCTATTACTATTACATTGTAATATATAATGAAATAATTACACAACTAATAATAATGCAGAATCTAATGCTACCGCTGATCTGCCAGAAGGTGGAGTTCAGGGGGTGATGAGAGCAATGCGGAGGGGCTGTAAATACAGATGAAGCCGCTCACCTACTGCTGTGCAGTCCAACTCCTAGCAGGCCATGGACCAGTACTGGGGGGTGGGGACCACAGTTTTAACACATTCAGCTCTCCTCAACAGCAGGACTTGTAGATACAAAACTCTTAAGGCAAGGGATTGTTTCAACTCTGTGCTGTCTCAAGGAGCTAAAACACTACCTGGCACAGGTGCTTCATCAACCTTATTGATTAAGCGATCCTCTGTAGTTTTATTTTATTCACCTTTGCTTGTGGAAATAACATAATGAACGAGAAAGCACTTTGTCAATTGAACTAAAAGACCTTTGAAGTCTCCTCACAGGATCCTATCTGGTGGGCCCCCTAAATCTGCCAACACAAAGAAGGCATCTGTAAACATATGCAGCACAGAGGCCAAACAAAACTCAGTCTGTCTCAGCCTCAAAGTGGCCTGGCAGTCACAGGAATGGCGATGTGGGGTCTGTCCCACACAAGAAGTCAAGCTTTCAGCTGGAGGCACCACACTGCACTACAAACCCAAGTCCTGCCTAATCAAGAAAAATCAACCAACCCAGTCTTCCTAATATCCCAGGTGATGAGTAACCCAAGAGCAAGTAGGACATTTGCCAGATATCTAGAGGGCTGTCCCTGACACCCCTACTCTCTGACCCTCCATATGCAAGCTATCACCTGACCTCCCAAATAGCTCTCAAATCGTCAGTTTTCTCCCTTCACGGCTGCCATCCCCAGCCAGCACTGCTCCTGTATTTGTGCAGCAGCTTCCTCACAGATCTACAAGTGCAAATCTAGTCACAGGCTCCCTTTCCTTAACGCTTCAAGCAGTACTCTGCTCTCAGGATAAAAACAAAACCCCCAGTGTGGGCTGCAAGGCCTTGAATGCTGAGGCCCTGGTGCCTCTCTAGGCTCACCTGGAATAACTATCCCCTTCATTCCAGCCTCATGAGCCTTTCCGTTACAAAAGGCTTTTGGCCAGAAAGGCCATGTGTAGTGACTGTGAACTAAAATAAAGTCTTAAGCACCCCAGTGGACCCACTCTTGGCCAAGGGAACTCCCCACCACCACCACCACCACACAAACCTTAAATCTGAGTTGGCAGACACGCCTAGTTATGCCCTGTCCCTTCTGGAGTTATTCTTTGTAAAAATAAGACACAAAATCATTAATAGGCCTAAAGCCATGTAAGATAAAGGTTAAACCACACCTGCAGGCCACCAATTTACTTAACAGATCACTTGAGCCTCCGTATATGTCCAGTGGTTTGTCTATGATTAGCGGACTTCCTTAAAACATTCCAAGTCTTCATTTCTTTAACCAACTACAAATCAAAGAATCTTAAAGATTCTTTATAGGAGGGTTTAAAACCCTCCCATAACCTGTAATCCCCGCTTGGAGATGTCCTGCCTTTTCGGATCAAACCAATGTACGCCTTCCATGTATTGATTTATGACTTTACGTGTAATTCCTGTCCCCCTGAAATGTATAAACCAAACTGTAATCCAAAAACGGTGAGGCCACTTGCTCAAGGCTTCTAGGACGTGGTTCTCCAGGCCATGATCGCTTGTATTCGGCTCAGAATAAACCTCTTTAAATTATTGTACAGAGTTTGGGTTCTTTCTATTGACAGGACTTTGCCCTGGTTTCGCCCAATTACCCACTGGAGCTCAGCTCCCTGCCCCTGTCAGCCTTCTCCCCTCTCCTGGGGCATTTTTCTGCAGAGGACTCCTTTGCAATTTTACAGCCGCGTGGTTCGCATCTGTCTGTCCCACTGGAAGGTCAGCTCCAGGGAGGCAGGCGCCCTACGCAGCAGCGTCCCCAGCGGGCGCTCGCTGGTGGGTCAGGGGAAGCACCACGGGCCGGGACAGCTGACCCGCCTCCGCTCCCAACTCCTGCTCAGTCGCGCTGCCTCGGCTCTTGGTGAACAAACGTCGACAGGTCGAGACGTTTGCTCAAACTTACCACATCCAAGAAGCACAAACTGGAGAAGGCTCCTGGTCGTTCGCCTCTCCCACCTGACGTGCCGCCCCTCCACTTCGTCCGGGCCAGCGGCCAGCCCCGCGGCCCTCCCCTGGCCCCCGACCGAAGCCTCAGCACCTGCAGCCCGGCCCCCGCCACTCCCCGAGGCCTGCGGCCTCGTGAACCCTGCGGCCTCGTGAACCCTGCGGCCTCGTGAACCCTGCCTCTGTCCTGGGGCCCAAGCGCGCCCCAAACCAGCCGGGGTCAGAGGTGCTCTCACCGAACGCCTTCCGGCCAGGCACCGCGATAGGCAGCCTGCGGCCGGCTGGGTCTTTCAGGCCTTCGACCGGGCAGCCCTGCTGGGGTCCTTGCGCGGTTGCGTAGCAGCTGCAAGGACGCTGGCCGAGCCGGAAGCGGAGTGCGGCGCCGCGTGAGCTTGTGTTGGCTGGTGTGGTCCGGGACGCGGCGAGGTTCGAGGCGGGCGGCGGGGCCCGAGGGGCCGCTGGCCGCGGGCGGGCTAACCCGCAGCGTCCCTGGTCTCTCCAGCCCTCGCCTGGGACCGCATGTGAGGACCCAGCTCGCCTGGGTAGCGAGCTCAGCGTGTGGGAACCGCCCCTCGCAGGCGGTGCTTGGGGCCTGGGAGGAAGGGAGGGCCCAGTCCGGGAAGGACGGGACGGTGGGCTCATGCGGCGGTGGTTGATGCCTCAAAATATTTGTCTAGTGAAACAGCTTGCCCACTGGATCTCAGGACGACGACAGCCATTGAAAGTGTTCGCGCTTGGAGCGATACGGCTGGGTTTGGCTTCAAGCACCTCGCTCGGAGGTGAAAGGTGCAGACCCCTCACCGTGCTTACCAAGCACCTGCCACTTCCCGGCGATTGCGGTAGAAGCTGAGTGTACCTCGGTAAACTACGCTCAGTCCCTGCCTATGCAGAGGCAATAGGTGTGCGGCGACCCAGTCAGGGAAACTCAGGAGCCTTGATATTTCCACCCCTTACCGTGCGCACGGTTCTGTCGTAGCTCTGACCACGGTAGACTCTGCCATCATTGTGTCTCATACCCTCTGGTCCCGATGCACTGTCTGCTCATGGTGAATGCTCACTAAGGTCCAGTCATTGCTGCTGTGCTGTCGTCATCGTATCATTTCTATGTGCCCAGCTAACTCAGAGTCTGGACTATGATACATTCTTAGGAATGTTTGCAAAGTAGTATTTGGGTGTGAGGGAGTAGAACAAAGCTAGAGATGATGTTACACTTAGATGTTGGCACTGGGTGGCTGGTGATGTACAGATGGTGACTGTGAGGAGCAGCGTTTGGGGTGGGATAGACAGGCATGGAGGGAAGCAGTCTGAGTGCAAGTTCATTTTGGCATTATCAGCATTTAGGAGGTTTTGGAAACTAGTAGAGGTTGAAATACCCCTGGAGAAGAGGGTTTGGGGAATACTCATGTTTAGGGAGGGAGAAGCATGTGCCTGTTGCAGTAGGATGGAAAATGAAGGGGAGCTGAGAGGCATGAGGGCAGAGGATCAGGAACGTGGGTTAGGCAATCTTTGGCTGTGTAGTCTGTGTCGTTCAGTGATGAGCGCTCAGGCTTTTTGGCAGACAGTGTCTCGTATCAACCAAGTGACATGAGTACTGATTTTTGTCCCTGTTTCACAAGTGAGAAAACTTTTATATGTTGAACTTGTAAAGTTTCAGCATGGCTTTAGAATACTGTCTCTCTAGGTGGGAGTAGGAGGTGTGGCTTGAGCATACCCACAGTGGGAAGATTATGTAGGGGAAACCACCCTAAGAGGATCTCATGGGGACAAGGTTACAACCCCAAGGCTCAGCACATAGCAACCAAGTTGGTGGTAAATGAAGAAAGGTGTGTGTCCTGGTGCCCCTCTCTCATTGGCTCATAGGCTCTCCTGTACAGGAAAAGGAAGAAATAGATTTGGTTGAGGGAACCTCCCATCTCTCTAACAGCAGCCTCTTGTTGCTCTTCCCAAACAGTGACAAGACCCCCTTCCTCTTTGCTGGACCCCTCTCTACAGCTAGGAGTCAATGGCGGGAGACGGAACCAAACCCTGTGAGCTGGACCAAGAGAAATACGATGCTGATGAAAACGTGAAGATCATCTGCCTGGGAGACAGTGCAGTGGGCAAGTCCAAGTATGTTGGGAGATTAGGGAAGAAAGGCCAGGCCCAGAGTAGGTCTGGGTCATTAGAAAAGTCCTCCGGTGGCACAGAGGAGCATAACTTCCATGGGATGGTGAGGGAGAGTAGTCTTGGCTGGAGCCCAGGCATGCATGAGCGGAATCACATCAGCAGTTGTGTATGTTCTTGGGGAGGGGACAAGTCATAGGACTGAGGAATTGGAGCATTTCCCTAAGTCCTGACAGCTGTGGAGCAGCTGAGGATAGTGTATGTGGTCTGTGGGCTGAGGGATTGCAAGGGCAGAGGAATGGGAATGAAGAGAGGAAAGTGACCACACAACTGGATGACATATTGAATAAAGGTGATAAAGATGCTTTCTGGGGGGATTCACTGAGATTGAGAAGAGTGGATAGAAATGATGGTTGACTATAATCATTGTGAAGACTGGCTTATTCAGTGCCTAGAAGCACAGGTGTGGAACTCTCCACATAGAGAG